GGGCCTGGGCCTGATCAACCCGTGTCTCGGATCCGAGGGGTATCACAAAAAAGGCCTAAGATTGTTAAACCAATACTTTGTCATGTCTTTTAAGGTGAATGGAAAAATTTTGAGTCTTAAGACCTCTTCCGGCATGTCCGTATATTCTACGGTGGAACATACTTCAAGAAACTCATCCAAATGCTTGTAAGGTTCTTCACTTGGAAGTCCATGATAGTTAGGAAGCATTTGAATGGTTTGTGGCTTAATTTCATAATAATGTGCTCTAAAATTGAGGCAATTGGATGCATGTAGGTGCATTATACTCATTAGGCACATAATGGTCTCTTAAAGCAAGAGGTGGATTAGCTACTTGAGGTGCAACATGAACACCTTGGTTTTGAATTCCTTGATTGATGATGGGAGGTTGTGGTGCATACATTGGCCTTGGCATTCCATATGGAACTTGGCCTTATTGTCGTGGTGGTTGGTGAATGAATGGCTTAGGCATGCCTAATGGTACTTGTATGTTCTCATTGTGCACATTAGGATGAAGTATACCTTGTTGGTCTATGTGACCAAGGTCCTCAACATGATCATCATTATGGTCATCCATTGATAGATTGGTTCTACTTGAACTTCCTCTTCCCCTAGGATTTCTAACGATGGATTCAAGATGCAAATCTAAAAAGACAAGAGTTGGTCTCAATGAACGACGTCCATGCACGAACAATGCAAAACACAACAAACACAAAGAATGGCAAACACTATGCCTTCACAACAATGCAATTAAACCTCTTCCACAAACACTTAAGTCATACTCCCATGCTTTAACAACAATGATGCAAGAACAATTAAAAACAAGCCTCCACGTGGGCCGACGATTTAAATAAGGAATTGAGTAAATAAAGTCTCACAATGGTCCTTTAGCACTTCAACTCCAAATTTAAAGCTTAGCTTAGTAAATTTTTAGAATTTTTAGATTTTTTCCTTCTTTGCTTTGCTTGAATACTCATTTGTTTGCTTCCTCTCCAACAATGCACCTAGTTAAGTAAGAACAACACAATAAATAATCAAAAAAAAATAAAATAAAATAAAAGTAAAGTAAAGACACGATCAAAAGAGTACTAATCTTAATTAATTCCACAAATCCGACGTTGCCAAATCAAATCAATCAATGCACCAGTCTCGTGTGTCGGCACTACCGTCAAGCTTGAGAGTGTGCATTATAAGGCGAGGGCCAAGAGTTTTACATTTATAGAAGCCACTACTACCTTTCACTATAAATATAGCTAGGGCGAGTAGGGATCGTCCCAAGGGATTGTGACGATCGAGCAAGGTCGTGGAATCGTTATTAGGGCTAGTAGGTCGAGTGATCAAACAATTGGTTGGTTGGTTGATTAGAGAGCAACTAAATTAAACTAAGTGATAACAAAATAATGCATTTAAGAGTAAGTAAGAGAGAGAGAGATCTTGGGGTTTAGAGATCACCACCAAGCAATGCATTTCTATACCATTAACAAGTGACTAATAAGGGCAAATGGTGTGTTGCAATATTGGTGTGTGTGTGTGTTTGGTTGATTCAACAAGCAAGGATGACTAGTTAAGCATGTATTGTCTAAACATCATGTGAAAGGCACAATATATCTAAACAATGAAGCATATATTGTCTAAACAACATGTGAAAGGCACAATAGATCAAAACAAGTCATTAATCCTTTCATTAAGCTCACAATCCGAATATAACATAAGGTTAGAGACATATGCTACTTGTATTCAAAAGCTTGGATCATCAAACAACAAGCATGGATTGTGCTCTCATTTAACACTACACTACAACTACACTACATCTACACTACTAGCATGAAAATAAACTAGGGGAGAGGCACAATCCATCAAGGAATAAGTATGAACCATCAAGAAAATCACAAGAGCATTCTTTTAAGCACTATGTTTTGACAATCTCTAAATCTATAGCATCAATATACATAGACATGCATCAATAACACAAAATCTAGAGACAAGTACATGAACATCTATTCTAGCATACATAGACATATAGATAGAATGAAATGATCAATTGGAAGCATTAAACCATATAAATCATTGAATAAACAAGATCTATATATATAAAAGTGTCAAAACATGTATTACAACAGTAATCCCTCAATAATACACAAGATTAAGATATAGAAAGCATGCTTGGGGCTAACTCTAGCCCCAAGATGATGTCTAGCCACTCATGGTGATGTTGCTCCAACCTTCAAGGGCTAACTCCATGGAAGAAATCTTCTCCTTGTTGATGAAGAACTCCAATGGTGTCTCTAGCCTCCTCCTCCTCTAAGCTTGCTCTCCAAGAGATGATATGAAAATGATATTGGCTCCACTTTGTAAAAAGCAATCGTTATCCTTATAGAGGTAGGTCAAATGGCACCTAAAATGAGTTGGGGTCGTGCACACAATATTCCTTAATGATTGGATAAAGGATAACTTTCAATGAGATAGAAATTTAACTTTTTTCGCACTAGAGGAAGTTCGATCGATCGAACCTTGGACTTGGATCGATCGAACTAGCTGAGATCCATCGAACTTAGGCTGGATCAATCCAACTGGTTGAGCTTTTTGGGAAAAGACAAATCCGAGATATTTCGAGGAGATATTTTTGGGAAAAGGACAAAAGTGGTTAGTGGGTGGTACAGCTGTAGATAGGATCAATCATTTGAATAAGGACAAAAGTGTTCGATCGATCGAAGGGTGGTGTTGGATCGATCGAACTTTTAGACTTTATGTTTTTAAGCCAAGGCTTGGATCTATCTTGAAGTGCTGAGATCGATCATTGTTCGATCGATCGAACCTTGATATTGGATCGATCGAACTTTGCTGCTTCCCACCTTTAGTTTCATTTGCTTCTTCTTTTTCCACTTTGCTCCTTTCTTTGTTTAATCCCAGAATTGCTTCAATTAAGCTCTTATTTGGCTGAGTTAGCTTATTTTCGGGATAAGTGCCTGAGAATGGAAATAATACGAAATCAATCTAAAACGGTAAAGTAAGATAGATAAAGGTACTAGAATGCCTAAGCTTAAGGGGTTTAAATACGCACTTTTCAGCGCTCATCAACTGTGTTGGAGGTTTCAGGTTAAATGATGAGATAACGTCTAGACTAAGATTCGTACAACATTTTATAAGCTTGACATACCGAATTTAGTGGGACCTTTGTCGTAGCATACAAAACATACTGTATGTGTTATTTATTCAACCACTAATAGAGAATGACTAGATGCATCCCTGCTTCGTCACTATATGAGCTTTGTGAACCATATTGTTTTGGTTTTGCTTATGCTCTTATGACCGAGGACTATGTTATGAAGAGAAGACTTAATGTCGCTACTTTAGTATGTACCTAAAGGATCATGATTGATGCGGTCCGACGGATAATTCTGTCATACACTATCGTTTTGTGACTCATTGTCGGGCGACCATGTCGGAATTGTGTTTACTAATATGGTAATGAGTACAATACAAATAATGGGATTCAAGCATCGCTTTGAGAAGAGTCTCAAGAGGGATGGAGGGTGCTGAATCTGGTGTAGCGGAATGGTCTAAGGGATAAACTAGATTACTTATTTATAGTGAGGTAATATGTTAGTTTGATGGTACTTAATATAATACTCCTACCCTAATCTTTCTCGTTCGGTCGCATGATCCACTTCTTGTATATAGAAACAAGATATGTAGATGAGAGATATGGAAAATTAATAACTCAGCCTATAGGGATGAGTGGGAGATGTTTGAGTATGGGTCAGGTTTGTTCCAGACCCACAACCCGTGGAGCATCCACATTGTTTGAATTCTAAATTTAGAATTCAAAATATAACGGAGTGATAAGATATTATAATCATGAAAATCAAATTGAATTGCATCGATTATATGCGATCAGATGTAAAAAAAAAAAAAAAAAAAAAAAAAAGGTTTTGAAGTTTCTCTGTTTTACTTTCTCTCAACACTATCTTTATCTAGTAGCCATCAACCCTAGGATTTAGATTGTGGAAAAGATATGGACGACTCTGGTAGCTGCTCTATCGACGAGTAAGACGGTTAACAACTTCGTCAGTTTGCAAAAGGATTTCGCTGATCGGTGGTTTTTGGGATAGCTCATAACACAAGCTTTGAGATCTTGCGTTTCCGGTATTCGGACTATTGAGGCAACAGAATCATTATATATTATTTCCATCATAACCCTGCATACTTAAACATACAAATTTGCATGCTAAATTATGTGATTTCCCATTATTTTCTTACAAAAAATTCATGCTAGTCAAATATTGCACAATGGAAATTTTAATTTCTTTCATTCCAATATTATTATGGTTACAATCTTTAACCAATATAATCGAGCATATAAGTAGCAAGATTTTATTGGGTCTTTAAGGCTCCATTTGGTTATATGGAAATAGAAAGAAATTAAAGAAAGGAAATACAAATTTTCACAATACTTTGGTTAAAAGGGAAAGGAAAATTTTGAGGAAAAGTTACTTTCCATAACCACCTAACTCTCTAATAAGATTTTCCTACAAAAAAAGTAGAGAAAAATTTTGATTTTTTGAGAAAATTTTATGAACTTAGAATAATATATGCCCTTTCTTTTATGGCAAGTTTCAATGTTATTGAAACCATAAAATGTTGATTTCCCATAAATTTCTTAAAATTTAGATCAAATGCACGATGAAAATTTTATTTTCTTTGATTCACTTTACTTTCTTTCACTTTCACTTTCTACTATTAATTTCCATCTAACCAAACATACTTAAACATACAAATTTGCGTGCTAAATTATATGATTTTCTATTCCCCTGCTTTTCATTCACTTCACTTCACTTCACTTTCTTTTACATTCTCTTCAATCTTCACTGTTAATTTCCATATATCCAAATGGAGCTAAACATACAAAATTACATGCTTAATTGATAATCATGATAGCACTGTACTCCTTGGTGTTCAATGCTGATCATTGATAACAAACATACACAATAAAATGTTTATTACCTTCCAAAGATAATAATAATAATAATAAAATGCTTATATTTTGAACCTATTGTCCTATTGATTATACAATAAGCATAAGAACATGGATACTTCCTGATAATAGAATCAAATGGATGCTAGGGTTAATTTGCACACTGATTCAATGTAAGTGGGAAGACCTCTTCCACATGTTCATTTTATTTTTATATTTATTGTACACATTATTTATAGGTCAAGTACTGTGACCACGAGTACAACAAGTAACTTAGAAGAGAGAAATCTAAATTATTTTAGCTACTACTAAACAAAAATTTCTCTCTTAGTCTGTCCTATTACTCACGGACAGAATGTAATAGCATAGTTAGGTCCACCATTGCAAGTAAATGTGCTAGTTTTGTCATCATAGGCATAGCTATAAGCCAAAGGACACTTCCCTTCAAAGTACTGAGAGTAGTTCGTGGGTGGACAAGTCGCTTCTGTGTTATAAGCTCCCGTGCAACAATATTGTGGCTGATTAAATGCTACGCATGCACTCTTGCAACTAATTGTGGCACCATCTGAATTTTTCACCGCAAGGTCAGCCGGACAGTCAGCATTGACATCGACCGGGCATGAGGAGGTGCTGCAGCTGCCGGTTCCACCTTGTGGGGTGATGGAAACCGGCAAGTTGAACCCATCTACTAGGCTAACGTCGTAAAAATCTTGTCCATTGTTGGCTGCTAGGGTTAATTCTACTAGGGTTGCCGGAGGGATTGCACCGGCACCATTGCAACCTATCTGACCGGAGGCACAGTCGGCAGTCTGACAGGTGAACTTCCCACTGGCGTCCGTGGAGCAAGAAGTCCGTGCCCAAAACCGGCCGGTCCACGGGGCAGGCGCGTTGAGGGATGATGAGGCTTTAGATGCTAACTCGAACCCCGTTGACGATAATTGAGCGCCGCCACCGCCGGTAAGGGTTCCGGGCCAAATAGTATAAGGACAGTTGTTTGTGAATGTGAATGTGGCGGAGTGAGCCCCTGTAATACAATCTACATAGTTAAATCTCTTACCTTTAAAAGGATCCGCTTAATAAAAATACTATAGAGCTTCAATGCATGCAATTCAAATCAAAACCATTTAGGCAAATACTTAATAGGCTTCACATAAATATTTTTTTTTATGACAGAGAAATATATGTGTACAATTAAATCAATATTCACACACATTATGCATTTAAGTTCATAAAAGATCATTGGGTATTATTTTTCTTATAATACAGTACAAATAGGTTAAAGGGTTCAAGTCCCGTATAGGTATGACTGTGCGAGTTTTTCATATAAAATGTGATTAATTTTGGTCCACAAGGAATCTATAACAAGAAACAACAACTTTTTCATACAAATTAATTTTGGACTTAATGTTTGAGAGATAATGACACATCATGAATGTGCACTTATTACAATATTATTCACACAGGCATATATATATATAAATATATACATATATATGTATGTATAATATCTGAAGAGGAAATATAAAATAACTTAAAAAAATAAGAAAACAAAACTTACAGGAATCAAAAATGGTGGCAAGGGCAAGTGCGCCGAGAAAAACTCTAGCATTCATCATTTTCTTTAAAAAAATGTAATGGTGAGTTCTGTTTTGTGTAGTAGTAGTATAGGGTTATAGTGTTATATATATAGTGTTTGTTTTTGGATATTTTAATTTGGCATTGATTTTTTTGTACAAGATTATTAATGTAATTGGAAAACTTGACCGTGATCTAGGAAGTGTTCAATTATGACTGGAATTTGAAATTTTGGTCATGCATGAACCAAGTGGTTCTCATTTTCTCAAAATTACTAAATTTGACCAATTAATATAATTTTTTTTAACATATTAGCTTGATTTGCGGAAGAAATTGCAGCACAAGCCATGCGATGTGATCCGTTCATGAATTAATGGAAATAAGTAGATAACAAGTAGCAGACAATTTTCTATTTTTTGCAAACAGAAAAAAAATAAAAATAATAATAATAATAAATTAATTTATGATATTGTTAAAGTTTAAAATATGATATTATTTAATTTAATCCAATTATATATATTTAAAATAATAATGTGTTATTGTTTCTTTGAAGGTTATAACTCTTTTAATGTTGAAGGTACTAATCCACTAAGCTATTGCTCTTTATATTGCATAACATGTTTTTCAAAAAAAATAAAATAAAAAATAATATATATTTATTTTTATATAAATAACGACATGCTATTATTAAATGCACCTAAACATTTGAAGTTGGTTAGACACAAACTTCTCCCCTACATTATTTTTATTTTTTCTACATCATTTTTAAAGGGATAAACACTTGTGTTAATAAACAAACTCCTCTACATCATTTTTATTTTTAGTTGGAACGTGATATTGGCACTTCAAAATAATACCGTGGCGCTTCACTGTTATTGTGAGTAAAATAAAATGTTAAAAATGCCCACTATAATTTTAAACAAGTGTTTTTTAGACATTTTATTTTATTAATAACAATGGGGCGCCAGTATCACTACTTTTTTCTTCTTTTTTTTTTAATATGATATTTTTTAAATTGATAACCACTTGTATTTTAAAAAACTCCTGACCAATTATAACCAACACATTTATATGGACACAATATTTTACATATTTTTTCAATTTCCAAAATAAGATATTATTTAATAAGATATATAAATATGTATGTGTAAGTGACAAAATGGTGTGTGAAACACAACTCACCAATTGGTCAATCCTCTTAAATATATAATATATTTTTATGTTTGTATTAAATAACAAATAGTTATTAATTTCAATAGGATTTTTTGTATCATGGCATTTGATTTATATTGTTGTTATTAATATTTTTATTTTTATTTTTTATGGTTACAATTGTCCATTTTTCTTAATCAAACTACAGGAGTAGTTTTTATTCTTAAAATAAGTTATCATTTTACTTAATTCGAAAATATATAAAAATAAGAAATTATTATTTTTTAAGTCAAAGTTATATACAAAGTACAAAAAAAGTTTATGATAAATACAAACTCCCTCAAAGGCATGTTTGAGACCATCTAATAATTTCTCGTAATTTTTAAGAGAGTACAATTACAAATTTTTTTTAAGATAAAATGTGTACTTACGTAACTATCTAATAATTTTTAAATAGTATAAAAAATTTAAATTTGGATCAAGAACCAATATGTACCCAATTTCTTAAACTATTGTTACTATTGTGACTTTGTTGTGATATGCATTTCTTACACGTTATAGGACGTATTGAATGGTCTTCTTTGTTTTTTTTTTTCTTTTTTTTTCTTTTTTTTTTTTTTAAGAGAATTCTTAATTGCACAGTGTTGTCTAGGTTGTTGGATGTGTTGAAATCGATCTCCTGCTTTTGGTATTACAAAAACTCTAAAGTTTGGCCAAATGTACAACAAAAACAAATTTAGGTGGCAACTACAAAGTCTCACACGAAAGCAACTAATGAATCAAATTTTAAAAAATACAATAATTACATTTTTAAACTTTTAATTGGACTAGTATAATTTGAAGTCTAAAAAATATATTATCTGTTCAAAAAATTACTAACTTGACCTTTTAAATTTTAAATATTCAAGTTTGAAATTCAAATGTAAGTAAAATTTAAAATCAAAATGTTAATTTAGGCGAAATATAACCCAACTACAGGAGGTGTGAGTGTAATTTGTCCTATTTTTTGTATGATATTATTAAAATGGATAAGCACTTGTGTTAAAAAAAAATCTTGACCAATTATAACTAAGACATTTAAATCTATGTGTAACACAATATTTTACATATTTTTCAATTTCTAAAATAAGATATTATTTAATAAGATATACAAATATGTATGTATGTATCAGTGACAAAAGGATGAGTGAAACACAACTCGCCACTTGGTCAATCCTCTTAAATATATAATATATTTTTTTATTTTTGTATTAAATAACAAATAGTTATTAATTTCAATAGGATTTATTGTATCATGGAATTTGATTTACATTTTTGTTACTAATATTTTTATTTTTATTTTTTATTGGTTACAATTGTCCATTTTTCTGAAACAAACTAGTTTTTATTCTTGAAATAAGTTATCATTTAACTTAATTCGAAAATATATAAAAATAATAAATTATTTAATTCAAGTCAAAGTTATATACAAAGTAAAAAAAATTGATAAATACATACTCCCTCTTAGACGTGTTTGAGACCATTTAATAATTTTTTGTAATATAGGGAGGGTACCATTATAAACTCTCTCTAAGATAAGATATGTACGTAAGTGACTATCTAATAATTTCTCCATGTATATAGGAGATTTAAATTTTGATCAAGAACCAAGACGTCTTCAATTTATTAAATTATTGTGACTTTGTTGTGATATACAATGTTTTCTACACGTTGTAGGATGTGTTGAATGGTCGGTGGTGATATACAATGTTTTCTACACGTTGCAGGATGTGTTAAATGGTCGGGGGTTTTTTTTTTTTTTTTTAATTTTATTTTATATAAGAGAAGGCATATGAGAATTCTTAATTGCACAGTATTTTTTTTCTACGTTGTAGGATGTGTTGAATGGTCTTCCTTTCTAGAAAAAGACATTTCTACAAAATAAAATAAAATAAAATAAAAAAATAAAATAAAATAAAAAACCCCACCGACCATTCAACACATCCTACAAGATTTCTGAGGCAATTACAAAGTCACACACAAAAGCAATTAATGAATCAAGAACAGAAAAACAAAAATCAAATTTAAAAAAAAAAATACAATAATTACATTTTCACACGTTGGCTTCATTTAATTTGAGGCCTAAAGCTAAAAATTTTAGTTAGAATTTTTTTACTAATAATATAATCTTGTGGGTTGGACTTATTATCAATTTTACTCATTTTCTTAGATATCAAAATAATAACATAAAAATTTATGCGTGTTTGTCCTAAAATTATATGATAAAAACTTACTGAATTTTAAACTAAAGGACAAGAATTGAAAAGTAAACTGGAAATTTAATGCATACTTTTCATAAATTTAATAGGTAGTATTAAGAATTACTAGTCTGACTAAAAATGAAGAATAAGGATTTTAAGAAAAATGCCCTTGTTTTTGGAGCCAAGTGATGCTCATGAGACGAAATTAAGTTGTTATGCGGTCGCTGTTGGTTGAGAAAACCAACTCATGATGACTTCTTCTTCTTTTAATTGTTATCAAACTTAGGCCATTTGGACGAACTTTTTCGGATTTTAGCTTATCAAAAATGTCACTTTAATTTTTTCAAAAGTGACATCAACAATTTTAAAAACTACGTTAGCAGCTTTTACTCTTTGAACTTTTGCTCTTCAAAAAAAAATATATATATTTTTTTAAAAATTTCCTAACGGCTATATTTCTAACCGTAATATTCATAACAGTTATATTTGTTACGGCTGTATTTTGTACATTATAATTTTATTATGTAATGGTATTCTAATATTTAAAATGATAAAATTATTTCTCAGCGGCAATATTTTTCAATCAAACAATATTTTTGTAAATTATTAAAAAAAATCTAGGATTGATATTATAACTTTAAACAATACATTATCCAATATTTTTAATTAAATTTTTTTTTTTTTTTGAAAAAAGTTAAAAAAAATTTGAATTTTTAAACTTTTTAAAAAAATTATAGCTGTTAAGGCACTGTTTTTATCAGCCAAAAAATCAGCTCAAAATAACCTATTTTTGGGTTTGTCCAAAAAAAACCATTCTGTCAACTGTTCGTTCATGACCATTTAAAAAAATAATAATAATAAAATAAAAATAAAAATAAAATCTTCACCAAAACGTCGTCGTTTTGGTCAAGGAAAAAACAAAAACAAAAAATTACCATGATTGGGCTCGGGCTTGCGGTATTCCGCGAACCTGCCTGAGGATCGCTGTGGGCCCCGCCAATTCCGCGAGCTTGATAGAGTGACTTTGGACCTCTAAATCGCCAAAATTGGGCTTTAGCTAAGGGCGGTGCAAATGCTCTTACCAAGTTACCATCACTTGCTTGGTAAATTATACTGATTTTGACAAATCTCACACAAATACAATATTTAAGATTTATTATTTTGACGTTACTTAAGATTTAGGTATATGCTCAATAACCTCCTGTCCATCAAAACTTGTAAGAAAAATTTATAAAATAACCAAGTTGCCCTTACACTTATATTTTTATTTATTTAAAAGATTTTTTTTAGGAGAGGGTAACGGTGTTGGAGAGGAGAGAAAGAGTAACAAGAAAGATAAGATAGAATAATTATATTTTTTAGATTTTATAACATATTTTGTATTATAAAAATATATTATATATAAGGGTATAATTGACTTTTTATAGTCTTAAAGGAAGTCAACGCTACACTTATGTGAGATTTAGGCAAACCTTATGAGAGGTAGGTATAATTTACCCTTAAATTAATGTCAATAATGTCCTTATCAGATTAGTCCAACTCTTGGTTCTTTTTGAGCTGTTTTGGCTTCAATTTTTACAAATTTTTAAAATCTTATTTCAATTCTGAAAAATCATTTAAATTTAATAACAACTCCAACAATTAACTCTCCTTTTTTCCCTGAACGTAAAAAAAAATAAAAATAAATAAATTATAAGGCTGAGAGTAGCAGAACTC